ACATGCAGAGTGCCGGAAAAGCCAAGCAGAATCCAGCCCTGCAGGGGCGCATAGCTGGGCGAGAGTGCACAAGTCCTGTCTCATCCTCTCTGGACTACACTGGCCCTAAGGAAAGTAAGCAGTAACTTTTGTTAAGTCAGGTAGATTGAGGAATTCTTTACATACAGTAAAAGTAATCTTTTTTGATGTATATTCATTTGTCTTTTGAGGCAGGGATATTTTTAAATGTTCCTAGCTTGGCAACTGATAAAAGCCATAAGTGGATATGTGAAGTTCTTAGATAGTCACAGTCATAGAGCTGGAGAGTAGAAGGGTGACTCCCAGGTGGGGGTTGGGGGTGGGGAAGGAGGATGGGCACTTGGAGTTTAATGAGGATGGAATGTCAGTTTGGGAAGATGAAAGGTTTTGGAGATGAATAATCGTTATACAGCAGTGTGAGTGTGCTTAATGCCACAGAAATGTGCACTTTAAAGTAGTTTTAAGTTCATCAGCTGTGCAATGATATCTGGTACGTAGGAGTCCAGAATGGTTTTAATCAAAAGAAGCAAGAAATGTATTTCTTTCCATGGGCTGACCTAGAGAGATGCATACATACACAGAATCCCAGGGCCAGCTATAAGCAAAGCTGGGAAGAAGGCAGGGTAAAAAGCTTGTGGTCAACTGAAACCTCCAAATATCTTGATTATTATTTTGATAGGTTGCAGTTTCTACTGATTACTAGCGTTGCACAGAAAACTGCTTAGCAAACTTCAGTCTGGAAAATAGCACAGTCCAAAGGCCATAGCCTTCATCTTTCCTTTTCTGACAGTAATCCCTGGAGCAACCTTGAGCAAATCTTATTGCTCAGTTCCTCAGTACTAAATGGAGCTATCAGCTTTGAAAACCTTTACATCAACTTCTTTTCCACCAAATGGACCCTCACTCAACCTGTACCTCCCTAATCAGTACCAATGAGCTGGCTGGTCTCCCTGGCAGCTGGGCTCAGAATCTTGTGACCTGTTCGGTTCTTCCCTCCCTTGTCCTCCAGCCAGTTAGTCACCAAGACCACGGAGCTGCCTGAGTAAAGGCCACAGCTCCTGAATGACGCTGAAATGGGACTCAGGGTGTGTTCCCCTTGGCTTTTGTCCACAAGGTCAATACCATGGGGAGTGCATGTAGCTGCATAATAAATCCTTCCTGAATTTAATTTCATTTGAAAAGTAGATCTGTATCAAGCATTGTGGTAGTCACAATCTTAATACCTAATACTACATTTTGAAAGGTAGGTTATGGTTTGTATGACACTGTAATAATAATCCTTTTCATGTCATCAATTCATCCAACAGATTTTGAACACCTGCCTTATGCCAGGTACTATTCTAGGCTCTGGAGACCCCAGGTGGAGGTCCTGTCCTCACAGCTTTGTATTCCAGTGGAGAATACATAAACATGTGCATAAACATAATTTCATGTAATCATAAATGCTGTGAAGACAATAAAGCCAGGGTAATGGCATAAAGGGTATATGGGGATGGGGTGGGCTACTTGGAGGAAATCAGGGAAGGCTCACCTGAAGGGGTGACTTGAATGATGTAAAGAAATCAGCCTTGTGACAATGTGCAGGGAAGAATTTTCCAGCAAAGGAAACATGAAATACACATGTCCTAAGACAGTAATGGGCTTGATGTGTTTGTAAAACAGCAAGAAGGTGCAGCTGGAATCACGGGATTAAGTAGGAAAATAGAAAGAACTGAAGCTCCTGAGTTAGGCAGGACTCCGGAGGTCCATGAGGTGGCTTCTTTGTTATGGGGAGCACCATGAGAAGCCTTCAGGGTGGACAGTGCCTGACCTGACATGTTGAAAGAACACCCTGGCTTCTGTGTGGAGAGAATGGATTGTGGAAAACCTGCAGCAGTTGCAGGGAGATCCATTTGGCAACCATGAACATTACCCAGGTGAGAGGCCTGGTGGTTTGGACCAGGATGCTGGTGGAGGAGGTGGTGAAGGGGGAGTTGGGTATACATGGAAGGTGGAACCAGGAGCCTTGCTGGCTTAGATTGTGCAGAGGCAGTGAAGGGAGACAGGAGCCAGAGGTGCCTCCTTCATTCTTGGTCTGGATGGTGAGTGAATTGTGATGCTATTAACTGAGTTGAGGAAAACTGAGGGAGGTGCCGATGGAGAGGGGAGGGTCTCGTCACTCTCAGGGCGCATGTACGGTCACAGCTGAGTTGCGCTTTATTAAGAAAACCAGTAGTATTGTGCGTGGCAGGGCCAGAATTATTCATCGGGGTACCTGAAATCCATATTAATCATTAGTCCACTAGGCTATGCTGTCCTGCAGCTTAACAAGCCCTTGTGGGGAAGCTACTTGTTTTGCTTAAATAGCTCTTTTACAGACAAGGACATAACTCTTTTTGTCAGAATTCATTGGGTTCATTCTGCAGGGGAACACTGTCATGTGATGCTTTCAAAATATGATGTCTTTTGGATCTTTTTAAAAATGATGCCCTGCAAAATTCATTAGCAGGTCCTCGAAAAAGGAGAAAACACTCCTTGTCTATCTCTCATGCTGTCAGATTTGAAATGAAATCAGTAACACCCAGCGAGGACTCTTACCCTGAGACAGTTTTGGGGTCTTGTTTAATATGCTTCAGGAAACTAATCACAGTTGTTTGTGGCATCGGCAACTTATGTTTTCGTATGTTTGTGCCCAGCTGTGGTTGGGATATCATTCAAGTCACCCACCCAGGTCAGAACGCTGCCAGACATGATGAAAGACTTTTAAAAAGAATCATCACATTGTTTCCATCATCTAGAAGCATGTGAGCCAAAGAGAGAAAGAGTACCACCTCCCAAAGCACTCAAAAACACAAGCACAGGAAACAGATGATCAATATATAATAACCCTGGGCATGTAGGTTCCAGTTCTCTGGCATTCAAATCTGTACAGGTAAATGCTGTGTTGAAGGAAGTCCTAGAGTCTCTGTTAGCTTAGCCTAGAACAGTGCCTGACATGTAGTAGGCATTCAGTAATATTTGTCGAATGAATTATTGGCATGAAAAGAATTCTTACAAATATCATACAATTTAAACATGTAATATTAGGAGTTAAGTTTGTGACTATCACAGTGCATGGTACAGATCTACCTTGTAAATAACTTAAATTCAGGGAGGATTCATTGTGTAGCTACTGCCATCACACCTGCAGAGAACCCAAGGAAGGGGGCCAAGTCAGCCACGTCCTCAGTATATAGTGTTGTTCAGAGGACTTGCAGCACCTCTGATGGGAAATATTTTCTCCCACTGGGTATACCCCATGTTTGCAGTTCCCCGAATCAAACACTTCTGGAAGATGAGAAGCCAGTGACTAGGGGTTGGAACAAGGCTTTTGTCCTTGTTTTCTCTCTGTGAGGCGGCCCTCATCCTGACCTGGGGGCAGCCTCTGCCTAGGAACCGCATCCAGTTGGGAGACTTGAGGCCAGTCACATTTAATCCTGGCTTGTTTTCATCCCTGCCATCTGGCCATCCAATCAAAGCCAGCCCTCCTTCCTCAGCGTGACTACCTCCTCCCTTGAATGAACTTGCCTTAGCCTGAGTTCTCTAGAAGCAGTCTGAGACAGGGATCTGAGGGCACATGAATGATTGGGAAACTGCTCCAAGGAGACCCAAAAGGGAGTTAGGGAAGGCAGGTAGAGAAACGGCAGTCCTCCTGGGACCTTAGCCAAGACCAGCTACGGGACTCTTCCCACAGCCCCTGATAAATGAGCCGCAGCAGGGTTCCCCAGTGAGAAATATGCTGCCTCCAAAATACAGAACAGCCTACCAAGGGTTATGTTTCTTCCCTGGTGTGAGGATGCATGCACAAGGTGCAACAATCTGTCCTTTACTTTGGAGGCCATGTCCTGCCTCGCCACGGCCCACTGGGCCCTGAAAACCTCATCGGTGGGTTGGCCCCGTGTCTTTGAACAGTTTATCGCTTTCCTTCTGGACCACATATGTCTTACATGACCTTCAGTGTCATTGTCAGTTTTTGCTCATCTAGTCAGATTAACATGACTGCCTCCATGTGGTGTGGACCGGTGTGATGTCCTCCCGGTGTTTACATGGCCTAAGTCCTTTGAGGCGTCACAATGAAGGAGAGCAGAAGAATTAGCAGAGTCCTAGGGAAGGCTTCAGGGGGTGTTAATGCTGAACCTGGGGTTGACGGCTTCAGAGCTTCTGTTTTGATTGGTATGAAGAATGTATTTGCCAACTTAATAGCCGCATACCTCACCCCAGAGTCGGTGTTCATCCGCTATAGTAAATATGGCCACATCAGACCTGTTGAGCCTACTGTTAGGCTTGTGGGGGAGCAATGTTAGGCTGTGGCCCATGTGGTTCTTTTCAGGGCCCAGGAATTAAATGGGGAGATGAGAATGACCACCAGCCTTGCACTAACTTCTGCCACTCCTTCTAGGATACAGTAGGGTTTGTAATTTACTGTTTACCTGGGCTGGGAGCGGGGAGGGGAGGGACACCTTCGTGGAATGCTGCTTTGACTTTCCTATGAAAATAGTTCTTACTCCGCAGGCAAATAAACTTTTCTTTCTAATGTTAGGCTTCTGCCAAATGAAGTTGGTTTATGATACTCTTTTTTCTTCACTTCTCTGCAATCCTTCCAATAAATACTTGTAAACATAAACCTAAACTTTGGGAGGGAGGGAAGGGCATTCAATGCATGTCCTCAGCTTGACATCTTACATGAAGAACCGGCCTCTCCCTCTTAGCACTTCCGCTCCTAGTAGTCACTTCCTTCTCCAGCTTCCCTGTGAGCGCTGCTTCCAGTGACAGCGACCTCCCCGGCGTGCTGCTGGCCAGCCCTGAAGGATCTCTCTCAGTCCTTATCTTGAATCTCTGCTGATGATTTAGGTCAGGCCTTAATTCTGAAGACTCTACTTCCTTAGCTACTGATTAACACCCTCTTCTGATTTCCCTTGTTTTCTACCATTTCTTACCACTTCTTTTCTCTCTCTCTTTTTAAGACTGAGCTCCTCTTCCTGAACCCCTCCCTGGATAATCCTGGCCTGGTAAGCACGGGTACTGGAAAGGCTCCTGAACTCTAGCCTTAGCGTCCCAATCTGGACCCCCAGCTTCCTGGTGATCAGCTCCATCCAGTCACCAGGAACCTCAGTTCAGTGGATCGCAAACAGTGTTCATCAGTTTCCTGCCGTACCTTCGCCTCACTTCATTTATTCTGTTTAATTTGGGCACCCCAGTTACCTGAACGAGGAAACCGGTCGCCCTCTGTGATGGTTAATCTTGTGTCAACTTGACTAAGGCCATGGAGCGCCCAGATATTTGCTCACACATTACCCTGGGGTATGTGTGAGGGTGTTTCTGGATGAGATTCACATTTGACAGGGTGGGGGTGGGCCTCATCCAATCGGTGGATCCAGAACAGGCTTTAACTCAAAAAAGGCCAAGCAAGAGAGAATTCCTTCTGCCTGCCTGCCTTCCGGCTGTGACATTGGGGTTTTTTTTTTCTGCCTTGAGGCTAAATCTGAAGGATCGGCTCTCCTGGGTCCCCAGCTGGCAGACAGCTGATCCTGGGACTTCTCAGCCTCCGTAACTACACTAACCGGTTCCTCATAATAAATCTCTTTGTATGTATACAGTGTATATGTACACATATGCATGTACATACATTATACATATATACTATACATTATATAACCATGTATATGCATATATGTAGGATACATAACAAATGTATAGGATTTATGTAACTGTAAATATATCCTATTGGTTCTTTTTCTTTGACTAATATGCCCCCCTTGCCTTATTCCTCTCTATTTTTTTTTCTCATAAATATAGACACTTGCATCTATATTTATCTTTCCAGGACACTTCATCCATACTCTGTCTAGTACGTCTACTGTCTCAAGTCTTGATTGCTTCACAGAGGGAGCTACCTAAAATACCAGTCACCATGTCCTTTCCTATTAAAAATATTCTGCAACTCTCAGAGTCACAGGGTGAGCAAAATAAAGGGCAAACTCCTTGATTTGAGATTCAAAACCATCATTTGTTCTCTGCCTGCCTTCTTAGGCTCGTTCCTCTGCATACAGGTGGCATTTTAACATTGCCAATAGAGCCGCGGGAGTCTTCTGGCTGCTTTTCCCTAAACTGAGGCCACGTAAGTGGTAGATTGAATTCTGTGCTGACTCCTGAATCAGCCCCATGCCTTGTCAGTGTTTCTGATCCACTTCTAGTGTTCAAACCTAGATTATGGACAGAATGAGGAGGGATAAAGATTGGGTGCAGAGAAGATGTGTTTACCTTTTTCCCCATGGGCTTGTCCTCAAGAGAAAACAAAACAGACAAGGCAAAATATCTAGTCAGTCTCCCAAAAGAAGGCCTGTTAAAATCGTGTTATAAGATAAATGTCAAATAAACAGAAAAGCTGTCAAATTTCCTTCTGCCTTCCTGAAAGCCCATTCTCCCGGAATCCTTACTTAACTCCCAAGTGAAGTCACTGGAGACTAAGCTCTTTTTTTAAAGAAAGTTCTGCATATAGTTATTAAGACTCTAGAAGCTTTTCTTATGGTTCGCCATTCATATATTGATTATAGATGTAAGGGCTTCTGATCTTTCTTTAGACACTGACCAATACATCTTTAGTAGCTTTCCATATTTCCAGGAAAAGAAAACAATCTGCATATATTCAATGAAAGAGTAAAATTGCCTCTTTTCCTGCCACTGGGGAGTCATTTAATATTCTTAGGAAATTTCTGACTAATTCATTTCATTTGAATAATCACTTATAATCATGTTAAGTAGCTATGGCTTAAGCATTCTGACTTGCTTCTTAATTAAATTATTTTACCAGAACGTATATAGGACTTCTCAGCTTTAAATCATACTGACAACCCCTTCTTGACTTCTTTATTATCCTAATATGAGGGCTTTTCAAAAGTTTATAAGCATCACAATTTTTAGAACAAAACCGTCCAGTTCAGTCCGGTTTCTCACTTGTCATAACAGAAACCCAAATTATAACAGCACAGTTCACCCAAAAAAGCTACTTTCTGAAGTTCTGCATTTTAATCGTACAGAGTGTAAATGACTTATAAAACCTTTCAGAAAAGACTTGGCATGTTTAGTAATGAGAGAGCAGAGCCATCACCCAGCAGGTGAGCCACGGCAGTGGAGAAGGTCGCCATCAGTGACGTACGTCTCTGGAAAACACTGTTCTTTTGCATGTGAAATACTCCAAACTTATGGAAAAGTGTAAAGAATTGTATAATGCCAACTATATGCTAATTCCCTATGCTTAATAAACCTTACCATCTTGCCATATTTGCTTTAGATATTCTATTTTAAAATAAATGGTTCAGATAAAGGTGAAGCCCCCCTAACTTCTCCATGATCCTAAGACCATCCCTCCCAAGAAGAGACCACTCTGCATAGTTATTTATTGTCGCATCATAAATTGCCACAAAGCACAGCAGTTTACTTCAAGAGACTTTTATCACCTCATGTAAGTTCTGTGGGTCAGGTTTCTGGAAAAGACTTAGCTGGCAGAAGCTGGTGGTTCTGGCTCAGCCTCTCTCATGAGACTGCAGCCAAGCTGTGGTCTGGAACTGCAGTCATCCCAAGGTTCCACTGGAGCCAGGAGCCCTCTAAGCTCACCTACCTGTTGGCAGACCTCAGCTCCTCACTGGCTGGAGGCCTCAGTCCTCACTGTGTGGCTCTTAAAGCACCCTGGGGCTGCTCACTACATGGCAGCTTGGCTCTGCATCACAGCAGTAGCTTAGAGAGAGATCCCGAATGGGATGCTAAAGGTAGAAGCCACAGTCTTCTATGATCTAATTTGGAAGTGACTTTATCTTGACTTCGGCCATATACCATTGATGACGCAGAGCAGTCCTAGTACAGTGTGGGACAGGACTATCCAGTGGTGTGCGACCAGAGGGGGGGTATCACTGGGGACCATCTTGAAGGCTGGCTACTGCAACTCCAACAATGTCTTTGTATTTTTAGGACACCAATATTTATAAGATGAGCAATTAATAACATTGCTTTTGGAATGTTCTTTGATCCATATAAATAGCATACCGTATATATATCCCGCATGCTTTTATTTTGAGGTGGTTCCATGTTGGTCTCATTTATCTATTTTCTCTGCTGTATGGAATTCTACTGTATGATTATACCATAATGTAGATATTCAGTATTTAATAAAAAGATACCTTGTTCTCATTTTCTCACTTTGAAAAATGAGCTGAACATTCTTTTTTTTTATTAAAGTATCATTGATGTACAATCTTATGAAGGTTTCACGTGAACAACATTGTGGTTACTACATTCACCCATATTACCGAGCTCCCCAATACCCCATTACACTGTCCATCAGTGTAGTAAAATGCTATAGAGTCACTACTTGTCTTCTCTGTGCTGTATTGTCTTCCCTGTGCTCCCCCCTATATTATGTGTGCTAATCATAATACCCCTTAATCCCCTTCTCCCTCCCTTCCTGCTCATCTGCCCCACCCACTTTCACTTTGGTAACCGCTAGTCCCTTTTTGGAGTCTGTGAGTCTGCTGCCGTTTTGTTCCTTCAGTTTTTCCTTTGTTCTTATACTCCACAAATGAGTGAAATCATTTGGTAGTTGTCTTTCTCTGCCTGGCTTATTGCACTGAGCACAATACCCTCTAGCTCCATCCATGTTGTTGCAAATGGTAGGATTTGTTTTCTTCTTAAGACTGAATAATATTCCAATGTGTATATGTACCACATCTTCTCTAGCCATTTATCTTTTAATGGACACTTAGGTTGCTTTGATGTCTTGACTATTGTAAATAGTACTGCTCTAAACATAGGGATACATATGTCTTTTTGAATCTGTGATCTTGTTTTCTTTGGGTAAATTCCTAGGAGTGGAACTCCTGGGTCAAATGGTACTTCTATTTTTAGTTTTTTGAGGCATCTCTATATTGCTTTCCACAATGGTTGAACTAATTTACATTCCCACCAACAGTATAAGAGGGTACCCCTTTCTCATCCTCGCCACTATTTGTTGTTCCTTGTCTTTTGGATGTTGACCATCCTAACTGGTGTGAGATGATATCTCATTGTGGTTTTAATTTGCATTTCCCTGATGATTAGTGATGTGGAGCATCTTTTCATGTGCCTGTTGGTCATCTGAATTTCTTCTTTGGAGAAGTGTCTGTTCATATCCTTTGCTCATTTTTAATTGGGTTGTTTGCTTTTTGGGCAAAACTTGAGGTATGTGAGTTCTTTATATATTTGGGGTGTTAACCCTTTATCAGATGTGTCTTTTATGAATATATTATCCCATACTGTAGGATCCCTTTTTGTTCTGCTGATGGTTTCCTTTTCTGTACAAAAGCCCTCTAGTTTGATGTAGTCCCATTTATTCATTTTTGCTTTTGTTTCCCTTGCCTGAGCAGATGTGTTCAGGGAAAAATAGCTCATGCTTATGTTCAAGAGATTTTTGCATATGTTGTCTTCTAAGAGTTTTATGGTTTCATGACTCACATTCAGGTCTTTGATCCATTTTGACTTTACTTTTGTGTATGGAGTTAGACAATAGTCCAGTTTCATTCTCACCCATGTAGCTGTCCATTCTTGCCAACATCAGTTGTTGAAGAGGCTGTCATTTTACCATTGTATATCCATGGTTCTTTTATCATATATTAACTGGCCATATATGTGTAGGTTTATATATTGGCTCTCTATTATTTTCCATTGGTCTATGGGTCTGTTCTTGTGCCAGTACCAAGTTGTCTTGATCACTATGGCTTTGTAGTAGAGCTTGAAGCTGGGAGTGTAATTCCATGCCACCTGTCCCCTCCCTCCTGCCCCTGCTTTATTCTTCCTTCTCAGAATTGCTTTGGCTATTTGGGGTCTTTTGTGGTTCCATATGAATTTTAGAATTTGTTGTAATTCATTGAAGAATACTATTGGTATTTTGATAGGGATTGCATTGAATCTGTAGATTGCTTTCGGCAGGATGGCCATTTTGACAATATTCATTCTTTCTATCCATGAGCATGGGATATATTTCCATTTATCGGTGTCTTCTTGAATTTCTTTCATGAGGGTCTTGTAGTTTTCAGGGTATAGGTCTTTCACCTCCTTGGTTGGGTTTATTCCTAGGTATTTTATTCTTTTAGATGCAGTTGTAAATGGAGTTGTTTTCCTATTTTTCTTTATGCTAAGTTCATCACTAGTGTATAGAAATGCAACAGATTTCTGTCTATTAATTTTGTATCCTGCAACTTTGCTGAATTCAGTTATTAGTTCTAGTAGTTTTGGAGAGGATTCTTTAGGGTTTTTTATGTACAATATCATGTCATCTGTAAACAAGGACAGTTTGACTTCTTCCTTGCCAATATGGATGCCTTTTATTTCTTTGTGTTGTCTGATTGCTATGGCTAGGCCCTCCAGTACTATGTTGAGTAAGAGTGGGGAGAGTGGGCATCCTTGTCTTGTTCCCAATCTTAGAGGAAAAGCTTTCAGCTTTTGAATGTTAAGTATGATGTTGGCTGTGGGTTTGTCATATATGGCCTTAATTATATTGAGGTATTCACCCTCTACGCCC